GGAGGCGCCGAGCCGGCCGAAGGACCGCGGGCCCCGACGCGCGGCCCGAGAGAACCCCGCCCTCCCCACCGAGCATGCTCAGTACCTTCCTTTTAAAAAAAAACAAAAACCGTGGCTTGGAGTGTGAGCGTGCGGGTGGGTGTGTTTGCGGACTGGCTGCAGCAGTCGCGGAGGAGCCTGATGGCGGCCATCCTAGGGGTAGTGAGTGGACCGGAGAGGGCAGGACACGGACATACTAAGCTCGAACTGCTGCCATCCGACTACCCTCAGCCTTGCTTCCCCACCCCCGACCCCGCCAACTCACACCCAGAAAACGGGCCTCTATTTATTACAGGATAGCCCAGCTCACTGGGGAGAATTTCCCGGAGAAGCAGCTGGAATGGACGTATGGGCGATGAGGCCAACGCCTTTTGGAGATACCTGGGTGCGCCAATTTTCAGAGAAGCCTGTAGGCCAGCGGAGCACAGGGCGGGGAGGCGGCGGCTGGGAGAGCGCTTAATGTTAATGGGCGTATCTCTACGGCAGTTAAAGCTGCCCTAGCTTGCGGCTAGTTTTAAAACAGAGAGGTCAGGGCAGAAGCAGAAGAGTGCTTGCCCCAGCAATTTCTCCGGCAGTGTGTTCTTCGAGGAGTGCGGCCTTCCATTCCCCGGAGAAAATCCCCGCGCGCGCTCCCGGAAGACGCTTGAAAATCTCTTTTAACAACGGTGCCCTCGGCCGTCGGGCTCCACCCCACTGAGAAAAGCCCAGCTCCGCCCCGCTCCCTTGGAACGCGGGAGGAACCACGCTCCCAAGGCAAGAAAACAGGAGCTGGCCGAAATGGCTGCGGGCACCTCTGGGGGAACCCGGGTGGAGGCTGCCGTCACCTCCTTAGCTGCGGGGATAACCAGTGCAGGGGTGCTTCCCGCGCCGACGCGCCTTTTCGAGAGCGCCCTCCCGACTGCGCATGCGCGCGAGGCCCCGGCCAGTTTTCTGTCCTGAGCCAGGCGTGTAGGTTGGAGGGAAAGTTTGCTCTCTCTGCACACTTGTTTTGCTCTGACTTCTGAGTGTTTGGGATGAGGAGTTAGGTCACTCTCCTCAGTCAGCAGAGACTGCAGATTTGCAGGGGAAATGAGCGCTGAGTCAGCAGCACAACCTGTGGGAGGAAGAAGCTAAATAGCCAAGTCGAGATTTCTTTCCCCTTTCAACTTTTTCAAAACAATGTTGAGAAAGGGCTTTTTTTTTTTTTTTTTAAATGCGTGGCCCACTCACAGGTCAGTTTGTATGACTGATAACTACAAGCACACAAGTCAGAATGGGGCCTGTCATTTGTTAAGCAGAGAACAAATTTTCTGTGACTTTTCTAAAACAAAATGAAACACGATACTTTAAAAATAAGTGAGAGGTTTGATAAATTAAGGAAATAGTTTAACTACAGAAGTCAAAGATATTACACTTTTCTGATGCACAAGGCAATCACCTCACGCTCCTAGTACCCCCCATCCCTTTCTCTTAAGGATGCACTTCCTGTTTGCCTCAAAATAAACTTACACATCAGTGCAAGCTCCACCACTTTTACTCCCCCCTCCCCATACGCACACCACACACACAACCGCCTTGTTCCAAATTCATTGTTGGACCTATCCCGAAGGCCACTCTGGGACCTTGGTATTTCTGCTCCTCATTTTTGTTTTTTATTTATTGGTTGTGTTTTTTGTTTTGGTTTTTTTTTTTTAACCTTCTTTCTTTCCTTAACCTTCATTAATCTCTTCCATTTCTCCAATCAACTTGCTTCACTTTTCCTGTTACTTCTTTTTCTAGTTATATTACAATAATTATAATAATTTCTTAGAGCATTATGTATCTTTCATATGGCTACATGAATTAAAACGTGCAAAAGCCGCTGAAGTGGCTTTGTGATCTCCCACCTGACACTAGTTGCAGTGCATTTTGTGTTCTGCTTGAATCCAGAAGCCATTCCCTCAGCCTTCCTACCAATTAAAACCACAGGGTTGTCCAGGCATACTGCATAGAATGAGTCCAAAGTACTGGTGTGTAACCATAGTGAGACTCAATACTGACTGCTACATGCTGAAGAAGATCACGTATGGATCTGTGTAAGGTCTACTGCTTCTACACACAACCCTATCTCCTTCCACCCTTACTTTTCTTATCCCAGCTATTACAGAAATATAACTTTTTTTTCATGTCTTTGCCTTCTTCCTTCATCTATTTACTCAAAAGTCACCTGCATAAGGCCTTTCCTGGCCACCTTATCTAAAATATCAAAAGTACCACGTCACATCCGCAATTCCATGGTTTATTTTTTTGCCTTAGCACTTATCACTATCTATAATAATATTTTGCTTATTGTGTGTCACCCCACTTAAATGTAAGCGCTCCAAGGGCAGGGATTTTTGTCTGTTTTGTCTGTTTTTACTTGTATCCCCAGTGCCTAGAACAGTGGCTAGCACATAACAAGCGTATGTTGTATGAATTAAAGTCTTTTCATGCTTGTTTTTAGAGTTTTTATTCTTAAAGAGAGCAAGAATGGTGTTAATATTCTCTTTATAAACTCTAACATCTCACCATGTAAAATCAGTTATTCAATAAATATAATAGTGATGACAACTGCTATCTGTTCTGTTTCTATCTGAAACTATGAGTTTTTTACAAGGTAGAGTCTTTATACTAATTTGTTCATTCATTCAATCCATACTGAGAGTCTACTATGTACCAGGCATTATGGTAGGCACTGGATATATAAAAAAACTGTAGCCCTTGCCCTCAAGAATCATATATATTAGAAATATTATTTTGATGATGCTTCTGGCCTCACATGAATCACTAGAAAATATTCTGAAGTCAAGAGACTCTTTTCCAGAAATCCATCTAGTGCCTATGCTGCAAGTTAGGAAATGGTCAGGATTTGATTTGGCCTGCTACAAAATAAAGGAAAATTCTGGCCCAATACAGAGGTTTTCAAATGCCTACCCAGAAAATATTATCAAGTATCACAGATTTATTTGCATAAAAAGGTCTGCTGTAAATTGGTTTTTGATTAGCCAAATAGCTATTGTTGGGGAGTCGGGGGGAGTATCAAGGAAAATGTCTATTAGAAAGGATCTGAAGCAGTACATTTTGGCAAGTTTTATAACCTAACTTACCTCATTGATGTATATAGCCTTAAAGAGGTTAGAGGTGATTTAAATTCTTCAAAAGAAATGTGCTGGGAGGGGCAGAGCAAGAGGAACTGAAGAGAAGCAAGAACGTGCTTTAAAAGAATAATAGCGAACTAATTGCCTCTTCTTCCCATGATGTTCTGATTATCATTTAAGAGAATTTCACTGAGGTAGTTAGCTGAACTTGGCAGTGATAAAAAAATGATTTGGCAGTGAAAATTCTTCTGCCTAAGCTATTTTTAAAAAGGCTTCATCGGTGAGGTTAGGTTAGTCCAGGTTGAACAACTGAAATATCTTCACCTCTAACAAACTGTAGGGCTTGTGCCACCTACCCTTCATTATTAACCATTTTCTAAACCTTACAAAATCTAAATTTTCTTTTTTCATAGTCTACTACCTCAATCTGACTACTGTCTACATATTTCAAACAACTACCGGCCTAGATTATATACATTTTTTAGATGTTACAAACCACTTCAAAATCAATCAGTTGAGAAATCATAGCATCTCCTCTGAGCTCAGCACTGCATTAGGTGGTATAAGAAGTAGCTATAGGTATATATCAAGGGAAACGAGAGAGTAGGACCAGTTTATTTTTAAAGTCCCTTCCTATTAGAAAATCTCCTAAGTCTGCGAGTGCTAACAAGTAAAGAAAAGTAGTCAAAGATGGCTTCGTAAAGGAGAGGGCACTTGAAGGATGGATAGAATTTTTTTTTATTGGAGAGATGCTGAAAAGAGAGGAACTATTCCAAGAGAGGGAAACAGCATGAACTAAGGCACAAATATATCATATTCATAAGACCATAAGAAAGGTACATATTGGAGCATACTGGGAAATAAAATTGGAAATTTAGTTGAGGAACAGATTGTGAGGGGCTAAAAAAAAGCCAGGCAGAGGAACTAAAACTTGATAAGGCAGGAAGTAGGGAACCATTGAAAGTTTCCTAGAAATGGAATAACATGGTGAAAATAGTATAGGGGTAGGAGTAGTGGATTAAAGTAGCATTTATTGAGAGTATGAGCCATTCTTTCTAGGAATTAGGAACCCAAGGGTTAATAAGACATAGTATTGGCCATCAAGGAGTATAGTGGTAGAAACAGACAAATAAACAGTTAAAATATGGTGCTGTTGGGAATGGGTTTTGCTGTGTATGTTTCCACCAAAAATGAAATTAAAAAAAAAAAGAGGGTAATTTTTCAAATATAAGGAATTACATTAAGAATAATATAATGCTAATTCCTGGGTTCCACTTGACAAATGTTTAGTGATTGGATTTTTTTTAAGAAATAAAAAGTGAAAACTGAAATATAGATATGTAAATATGTATGTATATCTATATGTATATATATACATGCATACACATATAGTGCTGTATCTACCAAAATGGGGTAGTGTGGACAAATATAGGCAGGACATTTAACTCTATCATGAAAAGCTTCCTACAGAAGATGCCATCTAAGCAGAGACTGAAGGATGAATAGAAATCAACCGGACAGAAGGTTACAGGTAGTCCCTGACTTACGACATTTTTGAGTTATGACGCAGCACACTTACAATCATCCTTTTATTTCTTTGTAGACCTTGTTGTTAGAATATATACTACATACAATGTTGTAGCGCTTAATTGTGCTTATGCAGAACCTGTACATAGAGTAAGAGCAGTCATTGGAACAGAACAAGTGGATATTGTGGTTTAAAATTAGGAAAGGCGTG